TATATATATAATTTTTTTTCTAATAAATCTAAATTGACTACAAGGTCTTGAAGATCTATAATTGATTGTAAAGATCATAATATCAATTTCAGCTTTAACCTTTCAATTTTCTTGACATGTGTTATAAAAAAGATTACTACTCAAGCATTTTTTTTGTTATATATTTGAGGAATAAACTCAACTATAAATAGAACAAAATAAAAGCAAGTTAATAAAGAGAACAGAGAGAAAAATAGATCAAGTCAATAATACTATCATTTACTTACTGGAATTTCACCAAATAGGGGAATGAAATGGGAACAATAGTACAATATTATATATGAACACTAATGCAATATTATTATTAGTAGAGAAAAAAAATAGGGAAGATAAGAGCATAGAAAAAAATAGAGAAAAAACTCACTTGAAAATTCTTGAAACACTTGAAAAGTCACTTCAAAAAATCCTCCAAAATCTAATGGGTTTGGATGTAATTGTTTTATGAATTTGGTATTTATAGATACTACTAAAAAATCTTTCAAAGTCTGTCTAATACAACAATCTTTTAAAATCCTTATATTTTTTAATATCAATGGATTATTTATAAGTTTTAAAATGTCTCAAATGAATACTAATGGATGTTGTGTTTCTTCTACTAGAAATCTAGTGCTTGAGTTGTCAAAGGTGATAACTTTATGAGTGTTAGCCGACTGTGCATCTTGAATAGTTTTGCATGCAATTTCCGAGTAAAAATGTCCAGCATTAATCAATATTATTTAAAAAAAAACTAATTAAATATTATTATTTCTTAATTATAATAAATAATAATTATTATTTGTTAATATTATTATAATATTATTATTTATTATAATAATTATTATAATAAATAATAATAATATTTAATTAGTTTTCAAATAATAAATATATTTATTATAAATATAAATTATTAAATTTATTATTTATTAACATTATAACTTATTAACTTTTTTGAATTTTATTATAAATATTATTTATTATTTAATTTATTATAAATATAATTTATAACTTATAATAAAATTTTATTATATTTTATTATAACTTATAATAAAATTTGATTTTTATTATAAATATAATTTATTATTTAATAAATACAAACAACGAAAAAAAAATATACTCCCTCCGTTTTTTTTCATAGTCGTTTAAGGTTTTGCACGAGACTTAAGGAAATCATTGATATTTTAGTTTTCAAAAATATTTGTTACTTACTTTCCTATTTTACCCTTTATTTTATTTTGCATTTTTGAGACTGGTGAACTGCAATCTACTCCATTAATTATTAATGTATTGATTACACGTGAACTGTAACCTACTGTATTTAATTATACCTGTCCCTTTTTTTTGTTTTTTTATAGTATTTTGTTTGGAACATATTACTCTTATAAATGCACATTAATTTTATATGGGTAGTTGGAGAAAAAATATTAGACATTAAAAATAAATACACATTGTTCAGTAAACATGTATTAATTATCAAGGATAAAAATGGAGAAAAAAAATTAATAAATCATTGATT